ACGTACTCACAGGTACAAATAAACGCGAATAAGCGTCTCAGTTGTTACATCGCTTTGTCTTCAAAGTACGCTCTTTTCGCATACGGAGACTGTGCGACGAGTATGGTGACCTTTGTGCTTCGGTAACTACAACAGATTCGTTCTTCTGAGAGCTTAAGGACAGCGAAGACATAAGAGACTCCCAACTGCGAGATAAAGGCATGGGAGGGTGCATTCAGGGGCTTTAGGACCAGCCACTCCTCTCCGAGAGGGAAAGTACGCGTGGGAAGTGAGCACAATAATTCCCCCTCCACCTAGGTGCCTATCACAGCGGTAAATGGTCTATATAGATTGCTTTGCGTTTGAACGTTGACGGGCGTGCTTTTTGGTCTGTGGCCTAGTCATTAACGCCTCGCGCTCGCATATATATATATATATATATATATATATATATATATATATATATATATATATATATATATATATATATATATATATATATATATAGATTTATATACCGAGACGTTGAGTTCGAGAACCGACGGCGTGTGTTTTTATGCAGGAGCCAAGATCAGGCGAGCAAAACAAAAGCACGTCGTCTTCTTTTGTCCCCTTTTCACGAGGCTGTTGGCGCGCACATCGCCTTCGTTCTTTGTTTTTGGCGCGGCATTTGCCTCCCCTTAAAAGAGCATTGCCCCGATGCTTTAGCTGAGACAGTATTTCACCCATGAAGTCACTTTGTAGAAGCGACGGTGCCTCGCAGAGTCACTCGCTGACGTTTGGCTTGATGCGCACTACGTGCACAAGCTCAGGTCAGTGCTGGCGACGCCTTGAACAGTTTGGGCTATCCGGGACGACTTCATAGGTTACGTCACTTAGTCGTCGCAGCACTCGATAAGGTCCGAAGTACCTTCTGAGCAATTTTTCGGATAGTCCCCGTCTTCGTACGTTGCAGGTGTATGACGTTGGTTATAGTGGTCCTGCGTCGTACTCTTGCTGTTGGTATAATCGCAGACGTGCGATCTGCCTGGCTTCCTCTGCGCGTTGAGTAAACGTGTCAGCAATCGTTTCGTTGCCATCGCATTCGTGTGGCAGCATCGCGTCTAACATCGTTCTTACTTCGCGTCCATGAACAAGGCTGAATGGGGTCATCCGTGTGGTTTCTTGTTTCGCAGTATTGTAAGCAAACGTTATGTAAAGGAGAATCTCGTCCCAGTTTTTGTGTTCGATGTCCACATACATTGAAACCATGTTTTCCAGAGTTTTGCTAAGTCGCTCGGTCCACCCGTTGGTTTGTGGATGGTAAGCTGTCGACTTGCGATGAATAGTACCGCTGAGCACCAACACTTGATCTAAAAGCACGGCCGGGAATGCGGTTCCGTGATCTGTTATAACGATTGGTGGCGCACCTTGTCTCAGCACAATGTTCTCTATGAAGAACCGGGCTACCTCCTCTGCTGTGCCTCTCTGGATGACTTTTGTCCAGGCGTAGCGAGTAAGGTAGTCGGTCGCCACTATAACCCAGCGGTTACCAACACTCGAGGTGGGAAGTGGGCCCAAAAGGTCCATTCCGATCTGGTCAAATGGCATTGTCGGGATCTGGACAGGGTGTAGCAAATCAGCTTGTTTCGTTGGAAGGGACTTGCGCTGCTGACAATCAAGGCAGGTCTGAACATTATACTTCACGGCAGCGGTGTATCTAGGCCAGTAATATCTCCCTCGAACTCTGCTCAGTGTGCGCGTGTAGCCTAAATGTCCAGATGTTACCTCGTTGTGGCACGCTTGCAACACCTCAGAACGAAGAGTGGTAGGGACGACAAGCAGGTAGGTGGACCCGCCTGAGGACTAATTATGAAATGGAAGCGCACAACGTAGACAAGCGCTATGCCTGAGGAGAAGTTCATTTTGTAAAGGACATTGTTTCGCAGACAGAACGACGATAGTCCTCTTGTAAAGGCTTTGGGTTCATTCTGGCTTCGTCCTTCTAATAATTAATCAAGCCAAGTAGCTCAGGATCGTCATGCTGGTGATCTGTGGTGATTGACGTGTCGAGGATTCTGAGGAACGCTGTCTCTTCATCAAAAGCAGCAGCCGACTCTATTGGTGATCGAGATAGGCAGTCGGCGTCCGTCTGTCGTTTTCCTGACTTATACACCATCTTTATATCAAACTCCTGTAGTCTAAGGCTCCAGCGTGCCAATCGCCCGGAAGAATCTTTCAGACTTGTTAACCACACAACGAATGGTGGTCACTGATAACCTTGAATGAGCAGTCGCACAGGTATGGACGAAATTTTATAACTGCCCACACCACGGCGAGGCATTCCTTTTCAGTGGTCGAGTAATTTGCTTCTGTGCGTGACAGAGATCTGCTTGCGTAAGCGATCACTCTTTCCTCGTCGTCCTGGCGCTGCACAAGCACAGCTCCGAGGCCAACATTGCTGGCGTCAGTATGGAGCACTGTAGGGGCTGTGTCATCAAAATGGGCAAGCACGGGGGTCGTCTGTAGACGTTGCCGCAAGTCATTGAAAGCATCTTCCTGTTCGTCGGCCCGAACAAATGCAACGTCATCCCTCGTGAGACGAGTTAAAGGTGACGCAATGCGCGCAAAGTCTGTAACAAACCGCCGATAATATGCACAGAGACCCAGAAAACGCCTCACTGCCTTTTTATCTGATGGTGTTGGGAACTGTGCGACGGCGGCAATGTTTTCGGGGTCTGGACCAACTCCTGCGTAACTGACGACATGGCCAAGAAACTGCAGTTCCTCAAAGCAGAAGTGACATTTCTCCGGCTTGAGCGTCAAGGCCTGCGGCCCGTATGGCCTGCAAGACCATTTGCAATTGTTCAAGGTGTTCGTCAAACATTGTAGAAAACACAATGACGCCGTCAAGGTTTACTAGACAGGTTCTCCTTTTAAGCCCAGAGAGAAGGGTATCCATGAGACGCTGGAAAGTAGCAGGCGCGGAGCACAAGCCAAATGGTAAACCCTTAAATTCTTACAGTCCGTCTGGCGTCACGAAAGCGGTTTTTTCTCGATCCCTGGGGTCTACTTCAATTTGCCAATATCCACTCTTTAAGACCATGGAAAAGAAGTAACGTGCGTTTCGAAGCCAGTCGATCGAATCATCTATGCGGGGAAGCAGGTACACGTCCTCTTTTGTAACCTGATTTAGCTTTCGATAGTCCACACAGAAACGCAGGCTGCCGTCCATCTTTTTCACTAGAACAACAGGTGATGCCCACGGTCTTTTCGACGGTTGAATGACCTCGTCTTCAAGCATTTTTGTTACCTGATGTTCTATCGCTTCTCGTTCTTTTGAAGCCACACGGTACGGATTTTGATGGATTGGTCTAGCCGTGTCCTCTGTGACGATTCGTAGCTTGGTCAAGGACGTCCGGCCAATTTTCGAGGTCGACGCAAAACAGTCGTAGAACTCGTCTAGCAGCACAAGCAGGCGTTCCCGCTGTTGTTGAGTCAAAGTAGGGCTGACGTCAAGGTTAGGTGCTAGGTCACGTGGGTCTTGTGCAGGTGTTGCTTCGAGTGCTGAAAAGCAGTCACAAACATCTGCGATCTCGTCGAAATGTGCCAACATTGTGCCTTTAGAAAGGTGCCGTCGCTCGGAGGTGAAATTGGTCAACAGCAAGTTCGTTCGGCCGTCGGTGACATTGACTATTCCTCGTGCTACGGAAATCCTGTGTGTGAAAAGCAGCGAGGTTAGTTGGTCGGCGACTCCTTCACCGTCGAACGGTACGTCACATGCTACTGAAACGAGGATACATGATCGAGGCGGCACGACTATATTGTGGTCTTTGAGAGGAAAGGATTTGTGCTCTGGTGATGTAGGATCAGTCAGACGAGCACTCTCGTAAAATGAAACCACGCGGTCCGGGATGTTGATTATTGCGCTATGCTCCCTGAGAAAGTCCATTCCTATAAATAAATCTTTGCAGCACTCTGGGAGAACAATCAAAGTCGCGACGAAAGAATAATCTCCTATGCTGATTCTTGCTGTGCATCTTTTCAGTAGGGAGCAGCAATTGACCACCCGCTGTTCTTATATGTGTTCCTGTCCATGGCGTTTTTACTTTTCTAAGATGATCAGCCAGCTTGTGACTTATTATGGAAAAATCAGCACCCGTATCGACTAAGGCCGTCACTTGCTCTCCATCAATAATTACATTGAGATCAGCGCTCACCATTTTGTCGTTGTAATATTCGTCGGCGTCGAGTCGTTGTGTAGCGGCAGTACCGGGGACTTTTTATCGTCGTGTGGTCTGCACAACTTTTCATTGACAGTGTACTACCACTCGTTGAAGGGAACGCTTCTCAGTGATTCAATAAGCATGAATAATAAAAACGAAATAACAATTAGGCGTTCCTAAACCATACTCCATTACTCAACAATCACGCGATACGCCTGCTATTCTGCGATTCATTTACTCACTTGCCCCCCTCCCCCTTATCCCGTGGAAAGATGCGGGCGGCCTTTTTTCTGTTTTTTATGAGTCTGACAGCCAACAGTTGAGTGTAGGGTGTATCGCCTGCTGGGTGCAGTGTCCTGCAAATACAAAGGCTCGTAGCGCTATGCGAGACATCGTGGCAAGCCAGAAACGGGGAAAAATTGAGTTTATTCAGAAGTGCGCGGAACAAAGCTATAGTGGGCTTTGCTTGGTACAGTGTGACATTGCACAACAAACTGACACTGGTTGAGAGTAAACGCAGATTAGTTCAATAAAATTTGGCATGACACTACGTTTAGTATTTTTACCCACATGCAGCCTTGAATAGCAGTTATTCAATTTTATTACTTATTTGTTCACTTGTTGAAACACTCTCAGGGCCCGAAGGTGCATCTTAGGGTTTCGGAACATGTGCGTTCAGCGAAATCTTGTATATTAGGCGCGAAATTACTTCTCAGCGAAGTAATTACAGGTTAAGTAGGCACTATTGTTTCTGTGGTATATTCGCATGCGTGTACATTGTGTTTGGGATCAACAACCACGTTCTTTCTTTTTTAGATTTAGAAATGCATTGTGACTACGTGTTGTGGAATGTCGTACTATTTGTCGTTATGGTTGCCACAAGTACAGGTAAGTGTTCACAAGAAGCAATTTCCTATTCATACCACAACAATTAGAGACTACTGATCCTGGTTGAAGTACACAGCTTTTTATATAGAAAAATGACGTATGTTTAAGTTGTTATTTTTTATTTAAATACTCCTTTTGTGTATACATTGCCTTTAAGAAAACGGCTGCAGTGAATCTTGAGATCTGGCAACTTTGAAATAGTATATACATATTTGGTGCTTCTATTTACGGGTCCGATCTCAAAGGTAGCAGGATGTCACTTTCGGTGACTAGTTGTCATCCAGCCTAATTGATTTCTTCGCAGTCAAATTACAATTACTGGAATACAATTTGAGGACGACAACCACCATATCCTGTACAGTTTTTCATTCCTTTGTTATTCATTTTATGGGCCTTTTGTTTTAGAAACATTAAAACTGGCATTTAAAGTATTTTCTTTTTTTGAAATGCTCAAATACAATATAAGCAAATCAATCCAGCAGACACTAATCTATGAAAAGCGCAGGACAACTTAATATTTGTAACTGCCATGCAGTAACTGTACCACCACGTGGGCTAAACCAATCACGGCTCAGACAAACCCTCCATTGTTTGGTCGAGCTCACTTATTTGCGAATTCGAGACGCACTGGCGATAGGGCCTCTTTTTCGTCTACTAGAATTATTGTTCTTGTGCCATATTTAGTGGGAAAAATAAAAAAAGGTAATTTGCCCTGCAATTTTGTTAACCTGAGCATTGTTTGATTCATGGGCTTGTGTCGAAAAAACTAGTAACGCCTGGAACAATTCTTCCTTGGTTTAGATACCCTATGCGTCAAAACCATGCTCAGTTTCTGATTAGAAGGTTTTTTTCTTTGACGAAACTCTGATTGGTGACACTGCATGCATCTAATAAGTAAATAGGCTTTTAGTCGGAGGGACACATCGTGCATTTAATGCGAATAGTAATATAGCAACATATAATGCATAGTTTCATTGCCTCGTGGCTTCGTGCCACAAAAGTGTGGTTGTCTATTTTTGTTCTTTTTTAACATCATACACTTATATATTGTTTTTACCTTTTGTTGTTCATCTTCAGACTTTTCTGGTACTCTTGCATTTATGCTGGAAACATACAATTCCCTGCTTTACGAAGATTAAAACGTATTCTCCTGCATGCTTACCCGTTTCGCCGTAGTCCATGTCGACCGTTTCAAGAAAGCGGAATGACACTGCCGGTAAGAGCAAGGCCACTATAACTGATGCTGGCGATAGTACCGACAATTACCGTCACGAAAGCGTTACTTTAGTGAGCCATAAAGCGAAGCCGAGGATGTTCGGAGCTTCTGTGAATGCAGCTGCTGTGAAGACCCCCCGAGCCCACCGAAGTAAATTGCCCTCTTCTTGACTACGCAATCATCTATCAACAGGAGCCCGCTGAACAGGCAAGCGGCATCTTCAGAGCTCGATGCACTGTTACCGAACAGTATCGAAGACGTAATAGTGAATGCGCACAAAATGTTGTCTTGGTGAACGTCCCTCAAGCGTTGGACCCTCTACGCAAGGTCGCCGTTCTTAGTGGCATAAACGTTCCGACGATCCATTTGCTGGGACATCGAGTACCGGCATGCGCTCTACATGACATTCGAGGTGCCGATCTTGATTGAAGATCTATCGTTTGTCCTTAGTACTGCCAATGATGGACCACAAGTTCTCTTGGTGTGCCGTCTAGAAAACTCTCGGTGCGTGATGATTGGCAATAAGAGTGACTGCTGGGTGTCACGTTTCAAGGTGGGTCATTTCCGAAATGCTTTGAGGCCTTTGGTTCCTAAGCCAATTAAATGCCGAAAATGACAAAAATTTGGTGATGTGAGCGCCATCTGTGAAAAATCCACGTGTTCCAACTGCGGTGCATCACAATCCGCCGACGACTGTATTGGTAAATCTTACAACTTTTTGTATTGCCAAGGACTCTATCACACCTCATCTAAGGAGTGTCGAAATATAAGGCGAGAAATTTTAATTTTCCGAAATGGCGAGGGACCGTTCCGATCACCGGGAAGCAGCTGCTGTCGTCAGGCGACATCGTTCTTGTTGCAGACACGCATCAAGAAGCTCTGCCTGCTGTGCATACTCACTGCAAAGCGTTCTTTGGTCAAGTGGCATCATTACAACCACGGGAAAACATAAGCAACACGCACTCTGCCAATGCTGCACTGAAAAAAAAGGCTATGAAAGAAGCATGGCCTTCACTTGGAATAACTCCTTAGGATGACTCCGCACCGGTGGCCGGCAGCACTACGCTCTGAATCCAGCCCAGATGATCTCTGACAGTATAATCACAATATTTTGACACTGATCATGCCTTTCATCGATTCAATTCGCACCCTTGTAAGCGGTCTGAATACGCCAACTACAGGATGCGCAGCGCAAGTACCAGATACCTTGAGCTGAGTGTTTGCCAACAATGAGTACACACAACGGCTCATTCACCACTTTCATTCTGGGAAGAGGTGTGTAGTGCAACTTTCTTCAAATGGAAGGTCAGATCTCTAAAATGACAAATTTTCTCTTTTCGTCAGCACCTTTTCTCTGATAGATGTCCTAAATTAGGAATATGCAACCCTAACGTCACCTGTGCCGCCTGGCATTACACATTTTGCTTTATAACATCCAGGAGAACGCGGCACAGACCAGCTACTGAAATGTTGCATGCAGTCATGAAATGATGGCGTCGTTCCTGATAAGTGGATGACAAGCTGCTACTACTGATCCTGAAGCTTGGAAAGTCGCCACTTGAAATGGCATCATACAGACCAATTGCCACATTCAGCTGCGTGGGGAAGAAGGAAAAAATGTTCCACACACGACTCGAGTGGTTACTGGAGCGCTAACAATACATATCCAGAGGCTGACTGGTTTTTCACGAGTCCACTTTTTTAGGACAGTATCATCCACCTTATGACCACTGTGACACAACAGAATTACCTCAAAGTGTATATTTGTTGCTATGTTCCTCGACATCGAAGGGGCCTGCGGCAACGTAAAGCGCTGATGCTATTTCATAATGCCATCGAAAATATTAGAATCGGTGGAGAAATATCTTCGATGGATTCGGAGTTACCTAATGAAGAGGTCCTACTTCATGCAAGCCGTAAAAGGCTGCATGCAAGAAGGACCATCACGCCTCTAGTGGCGTGCCGTCAAGGCGGCGTTTTCAGTCTCGGCTTTGTTTAACCTCACGATATTTGAAGTTGCCTGGTTTCGGCATCGATAAGTGCACCTTTGTGTGTATGTCGATTACATATGCATCTGCGCTTCCGCAGTGACGCCACCCCAGGGACGTGCAAGGCTCCGAAAAGCAGCTAGAGCAACGTCCAGGTACCAGAAGGGGCAGGAGCCCGACTTTTTGTTTCGCGGTCATTGCATAAAAACACCTTCATTGCATAAATACTGCTATTGTGTGCTCACAATTGTTCTGATTGGTGATAGGAGGTGGAAGAAGAGCACTTAAGAGAAGGGTGGGGTGCAGGCACAGGTTTGAGGGTAGGTGATTACCCCCCCCCCCTCCCACCCCTCTGAATGAGCCACTGCGTGCTCGAGGCCTCAAACTTTCTACGGAGAAGTGCGCCTCAACCCCTTTTATCCACAAGCCGGATGTTGTGGTACCCGTTTTTAATCGGGAAAATACGACTTTCGTATACGAGATGTAGCCAATTATTGGCCGTCACTATCGAAATAGATCTGTTATGGAATGATCACCTCTCGTACTCGGCACTAAAACTCGCTGCGCATTCATATCAGCTATGCTTCACCTGTAGAGTGCGCTTCTTGGGGTATTTGCTGCAGTGTATATCAATGCCGGAAATGCTTATATCCGGGGTCTTTCGAAGTGTTCAAGGCCAAGTTCTTAAGACGAGCTTGGCGATCCTTAGGTGTGCTAAAACAAGTCACAACCATCGTAATTGCCAAATACACTTGATTACGACACATATAACACCTGGCTGCATATTCGCCATATATCAAGATTGTCTTACTACCACCTCGACTAGCCTGCCCCTAGAAAGACCCAAGGCAGTTTTCTTGAGTGGCGGCTAACGAGCATTCCGTTTCCTAATGGTTCTCGTCCACAACCGTACCGCGATGGCTGGAGGGGTGCCTGCAAGGAACACGCTGTGCACCCTGAAGTGCCGGCAATGAACAAAAAGGCTAGCGTGTCATCCTGCATCCCACAAGCAGATCTCGTGGACCTTTTGAAAATATCGCATTCTAACCAGACTCACATTTGCACACACTATTCGATGTCAGGAAGGCTGATGGGCGCCTTTATGGTTGCATCTAGATTAATCCCCGTCAAAGTATCGCAATCACACGTCACGATATCTACGTGCTCCAAGAGCATTGCACTTCCAGCGGCAATAAAATTTGTTATGCAAGAATCTTCCAGTAAGGTACCCATATTCGGTGACTCCAAGGCGTCCCTTCACTGTGTGCGAAGTATACGACACTAAAAGCACCATCAGTTAGTTTTTAAAACATATAAATATACTTATGGCACCGCTAACCAAGGACCGGACATAGTATTTCAATGGCAGCCGGCTCACTGTGGGAAGAGTGGTAACCACGTAGCCGACAGTGCAGCCCGGTGAGCCAATGGCGAAGCACCAATACTGTTGGAAAAATGTCAGCTCTGCTAGGGAAGTTCGTGAAAATGCGCATAATGCCCCGCTTCCACAATGTATTTCTCCACTGAACATCGCTCGTCACCCAATGAGCCTCGGTTTGGTACTTCATCTACACCTATCATCAGATACTTCAAGGCATGACGGCTACAACGATCTTTCAGTTGTGGGTCGGCGTAGCCTTTGTCAACGCATTCAGTCATGATACTTTGTATGGCTGACTCATCCAAGTAACGGACCTATGTAAAAACTCTTGGCCACGTATTTTGTCACTATCCCGACTGATCATGATCGGCAGACTCTCCATTGTGCCTTGACGAGACTCGATGATCATCCATTTTT